AGTCACATAACTGACAATTTGCACAGACGAATTATCAGAGCGAATTTTCATATATTGTATTATCCTACTATTGTTACACAATTTATTAACATACTCGTTTTTAGGTTCATTTAGGTTCTTTTGATAACGATAGCAGAAAATAGCTATCGAAACGTCAAGGTAATTTTTCAAATTAATTTCTCTACTAATTGGCATTTTCTCTTACAGCTTGAGCCTAAGTGTGTCGCAGGATACCCTCTAGGTGATAGTTCTTGATTACTTTTTGATAAATAATTCGTTCTTATTGCGAAATAGGAGCACTATGTATCAATCTGTAATAAAAGACGTGAGGAAATTCTGTCTTCTTTAAAGACAAAAATTTTTGAGGCGAAATACCCAAAAAGAAGTTTGTAAAAAACATATAGAAGTTATCTTCAAGTCAATCAAGAACACTCTTGAACAACTGAAGCTTACACTCAGTGTTGTGCTTGAATCGAGAAATGCAGCTAGTTGAATTACAATTGATAATGCAAAGACTCACCTTTTTCTCTGTGAGCTTCTCGCATCTTCTCTGCTTGCAGATCTGATGGCTTTTGTCGTTTCTGCAGGGAGCACAATCACCGCAATTGTCTTTCCGCTGACATCCGACGCATTCCCCGCACCGTTTCCGCTTCTTCTTCACCTGTTTGTCCATGGAACCGCCACTAATATCGTGTTCCATACCGACCGGCATGCCGTGCTGAGCCTTGTAACCGTCCGTACTGGACACGGCCGCAACCTGTCCCGAACTTTCCGAACCCAGGTCCATGTTACTGGACGCACCATCGCTTTCCGCCGAACTTTCCAAACTGTTTGCTCGAATTTTCCGCCTTTCCTTCTTTCGAAAGTCGTTCCGGGTTGGAGACGTCATAATACTGGCCGTACCGTTGAGTTTCTTCTCGATTCCATTATAGAGACTGTTGTCGTTATTGAGCGCCGCCATGGGGTTTTGGAACTGAGTGGGATGGAGGCCAACATTCTGCATTTTGAGGCCGGAGGGATCTTGCTGATGCAGCGTGGTCAAGTTGCCGCCCAGCTTGAGATCCGGCTCAGACTTTAGTACCGCTACAACAGCTGGGGAGGAAATGAGCTGGCTGTTCTGGATCAAGGTCCCGTTCTGAGTAGGGAATATGCTTGCGGAATGTATGGTGTTGCCCAAAGTGAGATTGGCGGTAGGGTGTGAGTATAGCTGGATATGTCGCTCGTCCAGAAACTGTTGCTGGATTGAGGGAATTTCGCGGGCTTGTATGGGAGCAGGAACCAGGGGGTAACTTCGCGGGTTTACGGCGCTTAGAGTATGAAAGCTGGAATTCAACGTGGTGAGGGTTTGGCTTTGCGGACTAGAAGCTGAGTTGGGCGATACGGGGGTTAAGTTGGTCAAGGTGGTTAAAGTCGGCTCGTTGGGGGCGCCTGATTCGCTGAACGCCTGGAACTGACTCTGGAAGGAAGGCAGCTTCGAAGCACCGTTTTGCTGCGTGAATGCATCCGTGAAAGTGTTCACATGTGTGGTACCCGCAAACGCCGATGTTGAGTCCACCGGTTTGGACTCCCACGGTCGATATTGAGGCTGCGACGAGATTATCGACAATCCGTTCTCACCTCGTTCCACCAATCGCGTTTCCGTATAATAGTCCCAATTTGATATGTCTAGTAGACGAGTATCACTAAATAATCGGTCAGAGACCGAGCTGAAGGTACCATTCGAGTCTATTTCCGACGCAAACGTCGAAAACGGTGGCAAATTGGCTCCGGGTGGAACATCTTGCACCGTGGAACTTGGGGTTGCTGGCGTCGAAGGGTAGGACGGCGCCAGCGTCGTGTAGGCCACCCCAAGCCCGTCAGGGTCTTGACTCAATGTTTCGCTCATCTTTTCGATTTCATTCTTCGCTAACTCAACATGCTGATTGTAAAATATGTGCTGCGCTCGCTAAACTCTACGATGATAGTTTCACAAAAATATCCTCTTTATTGTCATTGTAGAAATCCTGAATGATCGCTGAGATGGGGAGAATTTGTACTCTTCGTTATTTGTACTGTTTGTTTGGTTTCGTATAAAAATAGCATTATCGTTTGTACATCTTATGTGTTTTAGGTCTTCTAAAAATAATATCTGAAAGCAAAGAAAAGTCTATGTTATACTCAGGCACTTTACTCATCAAAGGACTTTAAAGCTAACATCAGCATCAATCAGAAGTAGATATTCACTTGCATATTTTAAATGGATCACCCTGTTTATTTTCACATATCCTATACCTAAGTATAACCGTTTTCGGAATACATATTTGAAATTTGATGCCAAAAATTACGATTGCTGACACCAGAATAATTATAATTTTTTCTGTAAGGAAATTTGTCCTATTTAATTTGACCGGCATTCCTTGATGAAAAGGACTTACTTCAATAGAAATTTCTATTACAGTGTTGAAAAATTTGTTTCAAAATGAAATTGAGAAAACTGCCCAAAATAATTTTTTTTCAAATAAAAACCTCCAATTTTGATAATTTTGTGTTACTGAGTATTAAAAACCAGGATAAGTTTGTGTAACGTTGTCTATTAAAAAAGTGTTTAGTTTTGGAAAATGTTGTGCATTTAATGGTTTCATATGGCTTTTGCTGCAAATTACTCCCCAACTAAATACACCCAACACCCTCAGAGAAATGATGCGTCTTTGAATCACTGCCAACTGAATATTACGCCTATTTTGTGCAATCAGTTAATTATTAGTGAACTGTTCAGGGTTTCCGATCTGTTGAGAACATTTAGAAGAAAAAATGGTTCGTTTTGTCTCAATAAACGATTCAGAAGACGTATGTCTGGGTGAAGACCGCTCGTATGCTTTACGCTGGATAGGGGCAGATTGATTAATAATTTAATGTATGTAGTTACTTTTATAACATACGGGGTGTTACACATTCGAGGAGCAGACAAAGTTGCACATTTTGAGGCTCAGTTAAAAGGTGTTTCAAAAGAACAAAAATTGTGAAATATTCGAAAAAAAAACTGTTCTCAATCTTCGAAACATGTTTTCGTTTTGTGTAAAAATTTGTCATTATTTAATTTGGTCCAAAAATAAAAGCTGGTTAAAGCGGGCCTCGTTACTACAAGCATCTTGCGTGTATTCTTAATGTTCCGTTGTGAGTCCGTTCAGGTAACACTCTAAAACTTTTCTTGAATATAAAAAAAATTAAAACAGGATCGTATTTACAGTTTTTGATAGTAAAATGATAAATTTAGAATAGGTAGTGCAAACGAACAGCAAATGTTTGGAAAAAAAATAAGGTGCTAATTATTTTATAATGCCTCTTCAAATAAGCTCAAAAACATTATTTGAGCAAATATCGATTATCTTCAAATATCTTCGAAAGTTATAATATCAATAAGAGTAAAAAGCTGCTTCTAATAAAATCTCTTTAACTCTACAAGATGCAATGTAGTGTTTCGAGTGCTGAATACTTTTTCTATTCAAACTTGGTATTAAACTATGAAAAGCAAATGTGTAAAGGAAAAAGTTAGAGATTTAAAAAAATTAAAGCCATATTTTGGACCAGAAGTCTGCGAATTTCCAAACAATTATTCAAAATACATAAACAAAATGAATATTCTTGCCTGCCCTTATAGCGGTTTATCGAGAAGTAGAAGAAACCTTTCGGTGTATGGTTTAGGATTAATAACAATACTTCTCTAATTCTGTTTAATTACTTCAAGCCGGCAAACTATCGGCATCAACTAGCCAGGAATTAATTTTTGCACTTTTTTAATTGTTAACACGAAACACTAGTAATTATATTAGATCGCATTCAGTTAACGTGACTGATAATCATGTAGGTAGGTACATGTCTAGCCATGTAAAAAGCCACGCAAACCAAAGTCGTTTTGCTCAAACATTCAGTTTAATTAGTGTTTTTTTGTTAACAATATCCCAGTGTTAATTCCTACCTTCGAAGGGCACAGTCGATAAGTTACGAATGTATAACAACTTGATACAATAGAAAAAAAAATGGTTTGAACTTTGAAAATTGTTCCAAAAGAGATTTTGTGCCTGCCAGTTAAAGCTGTAATCTAAACAGCCAGTGGAAGAAACATAATTTTTAAGCGATCAACTGTAAAAGTGTAGCTCAAAAGCTTGTTGATTTCAAATGTGGCTTATGCACACACAAACCCAATATTTTTCAGAAAAACGTACAACTTTTACAAGATCTGCATGAATAAAATAATTTAAAAAAATTTAATCTAAGCCTGTGTTTTCAACCAGTTTCGATAAAAAAAAGCATTTCGAAAAACTTTCGCTTACAGGCCAGGCTGCATACATTAACAATGTTCTCGCCTCTGAAAACAAATGGCAGATAATTTTATAGGCAAAATGGCTCGTCGCCGTGATTCTGAGCTATACCCGTTTTCCAATTATTGATTTCTCTTTGTATAGTGACTCATTTCGACTTTAAGAACGGGACGTATGAGCCAGTGGCAGGACAAGTGAAGACCATTTCAAACGACACATTTTCCACACTAACCATAAGGCTTAATTATGTATTAAAATTAGTTCCTCAAAAGACAAAGTTGAACCACCAAGAAGCAAATCGCAGCCTTTCGGGTTTCTCCCCTTAGATGATAAGCTCGAAATTGCCTCCAGAGAACTGGGGGGACCCAGAAAAGAAAACTAAACCAAAACCAGTTTCGGACCTATTGGTCCTCATCAGCTCCGCTTGATGTCCGATCCTGAGAGTGTTTACTTGTGAAGTGGCCAGAAACACTTACAATCTGGGTAGTCTGGCAGACAATATACTTTCATGAAGTTGATCGTGTGATCAATATCCAATGCAGAATCCCGCAGAGAGGGGAAAGTCGAGAGGTGAAAATGCATTGGACTTATCGGAAAAGTGGTGTTCTCAAGCTGCAGAACTGGACCAATGGGTAAGAACGCCACTGTGAGTTCGCGAGAGCAGGAACAAGCAGGAACGAGTGAGGCGACCGTGACCTGGCCTTAACAAGGAAATGCGTTACGCACTACGCGACGCCGCCGTCGACGTTCATCCTGCGTGCAGACGAAGAGCGCCGAATCCTGTGGGTTTTCCACTACACCTTTGTGCGTCTTTTCCTGGATTTCGCTTGAAACTTCCACGGGTGCTGAGTTGCCAGTTTCACCTTGACAATTATCAAACAGTATTTACGAGCCGATCCTACAAATCTATCGGGAATCCGCTTTATTTGTTGCAGGATTTGCGATCATCGGCGCAGCAAGGTGCGAACTATTTGGAAATGGGAAAACGGCGTTAAACATAACTTTAGTTTTAGATGTTTTCCCGAATTTTCCTTATGCCAACCTGAAATAGATTTTAGTCCAAAATAAGAGACCCACTTCAATGGACACTATCTATCAGCAAGTCTAGGTAGTGTAAGGCATAAAAACTACCAACAACTTCACACATCAAAGTACCCAAAACGCATTGTCAGGAACCTACTGGACAACCGAAAACTCGAAATTTGCATCCACAATACACTTTTCTTCCAGTTTAAAGTGATCACCGGACTACTGTTTACACAGCCTTTGGTGAAAGACCTGCGAGTTTGCAACCACTAATTGGGATTGGCTCTGTTTCGTGGAAGGAAACTTGTCTTTTTGACACAATTCTTCACGCCCACCAATAGGATCTTTGTAAACTATCATCTAGTCAATCATTTGAGACCAAATTGAAAAATCCATAAGATTTAAGTCAGGAGTTCTCGGTCCCATGGCCAATCCAACGGTTTGGAAAAGTTGCCTCAAAGTAGACACGCACCAGCCGAGAAAAATGTGGTGGAGCTCCATCTTGCATAAACCACATTTGTTTCCTTAAATGAAGTGGAAAATCTTCAAACAACTCGGCCAAATTAGGAAAGAAAATTGAATCAACTAAGGGCAGAACTCGTTAATTTGATGAATAACAATCCGAATCTGCATTAAAAATGTACAGATATAAAAATCCTGTAATGTTATTGCCCTAACAGCATATTTAACTGAAAGGTTCAGTCGGCTAAACCAAACTGTTATGAGTCAACTGCTTTGTTCCTGAAAGGGCCGAACTTTTCGGACTTAATTTACTTTCCAAATTTGCTTCTTTGTATCGTGCTTGTTCGACTGTTATGGCACCTTTTCATCCCAAATAGAAGTTGCAGAATGGTTTGCGTCGTTTTGTTATTTGCACAGAAATCTGACGGAACCGGGCTCTAACTGGACGTAATACAATTTAGGATGTTAATCTGATGTTTAGCTCGCTTCATAAAGTCGAATCGTTTTTTTGTCAGTTTTTAACAACAAAGTGTGAAATGCATTAAAAAGCTTATCAAAGAAAATAGCGCAGAATTGGAGTGAAATCCATAAATACTCCTTAAAGCGAAATTAAGACCTGTACGACTTTTTGTTACTTATCCCGGCATATATGCGAAATTTAATTATTAGTCCGCCTGCCGCATTACCTCTCTTCGCGCCAAACCAATTTAAAACAACTTTTCATAAATGAGATAACTTAATTTGCTTCTCACATCTAATTTAGTTTTCTGTCCAATTACAAGAGGCATTAGAGTACGGTCTAATTTTAGCACCATTTACCAGAAAATGGTGTTGTTTTGATATACCACTCACCCTTTCCACATCTGAAAGTGTAGCGGAATTTTGCATAATTTCTAAGGTAAAATTAAAGCTGAATTTCATATTAAGCGGTTTTGAGTCTCAACTTTGCCTTACTATTATAAGAAACTGAGACACTTCTATTGAATAATTAATATTACACACACAAAGACACAAATCTTTGTTAATTTCCATAGCTTGCTGTAACGCTAAATGAAGACCCAAATTGTTTCAAATTTCATTAAATGTAAATCAGAAACAAAATTCCAAAAAAAGCCAAGAGAACACAAATTTTCAAATCGAATCAGTAAAGAAATCTGTGCAGGTGTTTTATTGAAATACGTTTTTGTTGTTGACGTTTTGAAACAAAATTAGAAGGGTTTGGCACAGAAAAAAATTACATATTTTTAACAGAATTAATTTAGCATATAAAATGTTTGCTAAACATTGTTAATCGTTGGTAAGCAAACATTTGTTTAATATTGTATCAATATTATACAGGGTT